AAGCATTATCCGAATGGATTTCAGCATAACAACTCGAGAAAAGGTTTCATCATAGTCAATTCCGTGGATTTGTCTATAACCTTTTGCTACCAATCTAGCTTTGAAGGTATGAACCTTCCCGTCTACGTCTGTCTTCTTTTTGAAGACCCACTTGCATCCAATGGATTTTACCCCTTCGGGCGCATCAACCAAGGTCCAGACTTGGTTTGTGTACATAGACCCCATTTCAGATTTCATGGCTTCGAGCCATAGATCGGATTCGGGGCATGTAATTGCCTCGAGGTAGGTCTCTGGTTCGCCTTGATCTACCAACAAGACGTCACCTTCATCAGACATGAGAAATCCATATCTGACCGGAGGATTACGTATCCGGTCTGACCTACGTGGTATATCTTGAGCAATTTGAGGTTCAATTGCTTGATCTCTTTGCTCAGGTTCCAACACTATCGAACGGATTTGGGATCACTTCGGACTGGCTTCACAAGGAATCTGCTGTTTGTTCATCGTTTGGATTATGGTACAACTTGATGGTTTTAATTTTGTATTTTGGAATTTGTATGGTTTGGCCTCCCTGTGTTGTAGAAGAGACTTACTACTCTTCGAAGGGAATGTTATAGGCCATGCTTGTAATTGTTGTAATGCGGTGTTGTAAGGTTGTAGTTGTACTTTTCTATTTATGCGTGTAACCATGTTGATGGTTAAGCATACAACATTGATGTACTTGTTTGATTGGGGTAATAATAATTTACATTTTACCCTTGAAAGAGCTCTCAATACTTTGGCCGAGACTTCTCTCTGGTGACGTCGTGCTACAGTAGCCCGTCACCATTGCCATCGTTTTTGAGCTTCATCTCTGGGTGCCTCACCATTTTGTGTGTAGATTCTTGTTCCCCTCTCCTGGGCCACCATTTCTACTGGTGGAATTGCTCAGGCATGCCCTCGTCCGTGTAGGGTGTGCGTTGACCTTTATGGTTCACTGTTCACTGTCTTCCCTGATGCTTCTTGCGTTGCTTCTCTGAGTTGCTTCTGCTCCCATGGGTTCTGGCAAAGCCCAGAGTGCTAAGAAGGCTAAGAAGAAGCTTCCTAGGAGTCCTAAGAAGAAAAGGAGTGGAGATGATGTTACGGAGACACCTAGTCTGAATACGGACATTGCCATGGAACTACTTGAGAAGGAGAAGGCTCCAACTGCTTCTTCCACGTCTGAGACATCCCCCCCACATGTTGAAGACGTCTCAGACACAGGTGCTCAGGTGGGGATAACCTCTGCGCAAGAGACCCCCCAGGTGTTTGACAAAATGCCTGAACCAGAGATGGTTGCTGCCAAACCTGTTACGTTTGCTGACCTTTTCAAGGGCAATAGGGACCCTGACCAAGGTATGATTCTGAAGCAATATGATGTTGGGGAAGGTACTTTTCATATCCCGGATTCCATTATCAAACCTGTTGAAGAGTTGTGGGGTTTCTGCCTTGTGGGCTGCTTTACTGGACGTTTCCCTGGCCTCAAGGCAGTGGATACTATTGTAAAAAGCTGGAATGTACCTTGTAGAATCATTCCCCATTGTAAGGGCTGGGTTATTCTTAAGTTTGAGAATGATAGTGATAGATTGGATGTGCTGGGCAGGGAAAGGGACAAAGCTTATGGGAAGGAGTTTAGACTCAAAATTCCTTCTCATGGTTTCATGTTTGTTTTTGCTGAATTCACCACTCTACCTGTCTTGGTTCATCTACACAATGTTCCATTGCAGCTATGGTCTGAAGAAGGAATTGGAATGCTAGCCTCAAAATTTGGAAAACCTTTGAGAACTGACCTGGTTACAAAGCAGCAAGGCAAGGGTGGATTCTGTAGAGTGCTTGTTGAGGTTGACTTCTCAAAACAGCCTGTGACTCACTTTGAGGTAGCTTGTATGGGTAATACATACACACAAACAGTGGTGTTTGAGGAAGACCCCAAATACTGCTTTCATTGCAAAACCTGGAACCATGGCCCCTTCTAACCATGAAAACCAAATACATCTCACACACAATTACTCATCGCAAACTTCATACACACCGCACAACCCACCAACACACCAAAGGCCATGTTTTTAACTCGGCAGTCAGCCCACCAGCGAATGTCGGGTGCCCATGACAGTCGCATCGAATAGTGCCATGCAAAACCGAACAAAACCGTAGCAAACCGTCCCACCCACTTAGAGCCGACCTAAAACCGACTGCATTAGCCCCATACGACTGGTCCTTCAACCTGGGTGGGTGTAATGGAAGAAACAAACGCCGGATGGGAAGGAGCTAAAGCAGGGCCGACACACCTAACATCAACACGACGGGTGACGGAGAATTAGGGTTTGATTCCAGAGAGGGAGCCTGAGAAGTGGCTACCACATCGAAGGAAGGTAGCAGGCACGCAAATTACCCAATCCTGACACGGGGAGGTCATGATTGAGATGGGTTTTCCGTAGTTGGACTTTGAGATGGGTTTGCCAGTCTGCCTCATGGTGTGCATAGTTGAACTTGTCTCTATTGCTGGTGATGTGCTCCTGGTCTTAATTGGTCGGGTCATGCCTCCAGTGCTGTTACTTTGAAGAAATTAGAGTGCTCAAAGCAAGCCTACGCTCTGTATACATTAGCATGGGATAACATTATAGGATTTCGATCCTATTACGTTGGCCTTCGGGATCGGAGTAATGATTAACA